ACATCCTCCACTAACAACGAAGCCAGATATCGCTTGCGTCTTTCTCTGAACTCGGAAGCAGCCCCAGCCAGTCCGTAGCCTAAAGTTGTAACAAGCTTGTCTTGTTATCTAACGGCGCGGGTTCGAGCCTGCGTAGGGGCAGGGCGACCCTCGCAGTATCCTTAGCCCACGTGCGACCAGTGGTGGTTACGCGGCAACAAAGCGTCGGTACTGCGTACCGGCGTATTGTTGATGCCTTCTTTTCCCAGCTGGTTCGGCTGGTGTAGGCCTAGCACTAAGCGCCAAAGCCGTGGCGACACTGCTGAACTGGTTCCAGTTTAACAGCCGACTGTGTGCAGTTTGGCTTCGGGGTTGATGTAGAATCAATAAGCGAGGCGAGACGCAACTTGTTTATGATCTCCGCGTCCGTTCCACTTGACTGCACTAGTAGCTTTGTAAAAACGAATTACCGGAAGCTTCCTCTGCTCTTGTGTAACGTTGACATATCGGTTGTCATCTTTGCTGGGGATTTCAATGCACGTGTTAGCCGACTGTTATCATACGAACGTCATCTTGGTGGTCACCACGCACTTGATGAAGAGCGCTGCGATAACGAAGGGAGACTTCTCACTTTGTGCGAAGACAATCACCAGTTTCACTGGAGCACCAACTGAATACTATCTTGTGGAGCAAATAGAAATGAATTCTGTACAACTTCGAAATATGGTGAAAAACGTTATAAAAATTGTCACCCGTGAATATTGTTATCGTTCTCATGTAGCCACTAAAATATTTAATTTACGGTATTGTAGGACTCATCGTAAGTGTGCAATCACTCTGGATCAAATACTGGTAAAATATAGATCCAACAACGTTTTGAACTGCTGCACAGATGTGGCCTCCATCTTTGTTCAGGCAGACTCTTCCAACTATTTACCACTCCGTTCAAAGAACAGTGGGTGGGGGAACTCGCTTCACATCCGGCACGACAAGTTGGTATCTGTGTCCGCGTGTCCTGCATAGCCCTCGTAAGGGAAGCATTGGCCTCATCATGAGGAAGTCACCGACATACGATGAGACATTCCGCAGCCTGGCGTCCCAGTTAAATAACACAAGCATGGTCTCAAATTGATCACATTATAATCATTTTCAGATGGCGTAGCAGCCTACGAGACTGCAGGTCGTTTTTGGTCCAGTTTCATTGCTTTTGTTCATGCACTGGTCTGCACGAAAATCTGCGTGTTTGTTGGGGGGTCAACAAGACTGAAGCGAACAGATTAACTGATTCCTTAGTCCAGGCCAGCTATCAGTCTTTATTAACATAATCACTTGTTTGCAATCCACCACAAGACATAGAGGCACACTGATTTGTATACAGAAAACGATGATCAATTCCGGACAGTCAGGCTGCGGACTTACCCGATGCCTCTTAAAGTTTTGGGTCTCTGGAGCTGCTCTTCCGCCGCAGACATATCCCGGCCGAATCAGATTGCAACAATTTACACCACTCTGTCAACCGGCTATTCGAGCAAAGCCTGCGCCAGGATCGCTAGGCTTGGTGGTTTGAGGGTGATTTGGAGATGGTGACCACTGCTCTCTCTGCGAACACTCCCAAGCTTTTCCAGCGCATTCGGCCCACTTGCCTCAGAAAGCATTGTATCAGTGAGGTCGTTTGCGAGTCGGATGGGTCTCTGATCACCAACCAACAGAGGCGTTTGCATTGTTGTTCTGAGCACTTTCACTCTTAAATCAACTGGCCTCAGGCTTCCATCAGTGCATACGGTACACCTTATTGCCTACTCTTGCTCGTCCCACTGGATCCACCCAGCGAGGCGGAAGTCTGCCTCGGGATTCAACGTTTGAAGCGATTCAAGGCTGCCTGCTTGGACGGACTTCCTCCGGTGTTGTTTAGGTACGGCGGTGTGGCAATCGTTAACCAGCTAACCTCGTCGTTCGCAAATATCTGGCATGAAGAAAAAGTGCTTTCGTCTTTGGTTGAATCAGTTGTCCCGATTTTCGAGAAAAGTGCACACACCTCATGTGCTAATCATCGTGTGATTAGTCTTAACTCGGTTGCATCCAAGCTATGGACATCCATTCTGCTTCGAAGATTATCCCCAATACGTGAATCATACTACCGTGAAGAGTAAGCTGATTTCCGTCCCGGCCTTAGACCTAGCCAAATCTTCACGCTCCGCCAAGTCCTTCAACATCACCACATTTACCACAGGCATTCCTAGACATACGGGCTGTATTCAACTTGCTTGATCGATCTATTTTTGGCGTTGCTGCAGAACGGGGTGTCACAGAAGTATGCCGCCATCCTACGCTCGCTTTATCTTCCAATCTCCGGCAGAGTGAAAGAGAAAATCATCAGCCATATATCGGTACACTATACCGACGCTTTGCTACCACGCGACCACCACCGATAGCGCGTTGGCTGAGTATACCGCGAGGACAACTGTCCCTATGCGAATTCGAACCGGTGACCTAAGGATTGCAAGCCAGGTGTGCAATCCTTTCGGCCACCGGCTCACAGGGCGAGGGTCTATGGCAGGCTTTCCTCGTCATTCGCTGTCAATAAAGATGTGCGACAGGTCTGCTCTGTGTCCCCATTCCTCTGCACCTTCTCGATCGAAGACGTCCTGTCGACAGCTCTAGAAGATTTCCGAAGTTTTTGACCTAAAGCTTCTACCTGGTAAGCGTGCGACCGGCTCAGACTATGCTGATGATATCGCCTCACTTGGTGACGATCCACTGAGTGTACAACGTATTCTGAATCGCTTGGCGGCTGATGCATCTAAGTATGACATGAGCTTCACCCCCACCTGCTCCTATGCTCACCCTTGAAGGTGCACAACTGGAAGTTAACTAGTTTCGTCTACCTTGGGAGCTGTGTTTCTGCTGACGCACTGTCAGCAAGGAAGTTCCTCTTCGCATCGCTAATGCCCGATCAGCATTTGTAAATCTGCAGCACTAGTGGCGTTGTTGTGATGTGTCGTTCTCGATAAAGATAAGGGTTTACGGTGCGTCTGTTCGTTCAGTGTCGTTGTATGGTTACGAGCCCCGGCTAATTCGCGTGAAGTACATGCGTCGTCTTTCCGACTTCGTTGACGGTTGTTTGAAGGGATCGCTCGTGTGTGGTAGCAACATCGAGCGCGGTGATGATGTTCGACGTCTCGTCTTGAGGAATGCGAATATTCCGTTTAACAAGCTGGTTTTGCTGCGTCAGTTGACATGGCTCAGTCATGTTCTACGCATGGCGCCTTAGCGTTTGCCGCACCACGCTCTATTTGCTCGTTCAGAACCGGGCTAGAGGCGATTGCGTTGTGGTCAACCTTCCATTTGGTGACAGCGTATGAAATAGTTGACGTCACGTCTAGTCGCCGTTGGAGCCATACCCCTTCCAAAATGGGGACCCAAGGCTGAGAGATGCTAATAGCTTAGCACGCTTGAAGACATGGCTCCCAGCCGGAATCAGTGGGAGAATTGTATGGAGAATTGTGTTGCTTCACATGTCTAATGCTTCGAACATTGAAAACGACGGAAACGTGAAAAAACTGACGTATGAAAAACAATCTAATATGTTTCGTTCTCTTTTGGGTCAAATTGTACTTCCTTTTGCCTTTCATAGTTTTTTGGTGGTTCCATATTCATTTCTTGAACTGCTGCCTAAATAATAATAATAATTAATAATAATGGCTAGGGTCCGACGTCGCTGGCGTTTATGTTGTAAGTTTCTTTGCCCCCCTCCTCCCTAGCCATTCCCTACAACCAAGATCTTATTTCTGACGCTTAACATACTTTTGCGGCACAATAACTGGCCGCTAACTCTCCGTAACGATGTCCATCCGTCACTGGTGGCTCAACTGGTATGCCTATGTCGCGTATTTCTTTTCTCGTGTATTGCGGCACAATAGCTGAGGTAATTCCCCACCTGTAGCTAACGTGTATAATGAATATACTAGGATAATAAATAAATAAATAAAGTTTTTATTCTCGACAAGGCGAGGCACGCCTTAACAGGCATGATCATTTTGACATAACAATGCGTGGTCAAGAATGTGCAAGTATCCGTTATGTTTGCCGTACCAGTGTATGTTTATGTAGGGGGTAGGTAATTATGTAACTGTGTGTGTGTGTAACTGTGCGGTTCCTGTTTGTAACTGTGCTGCTCTAATTTTGACTCTCATATCGTCCGCAATGCTGGAGTAGAAGATGGAGGTCCGTGCGTTGGAAAGGATTATTCGGATACCCACGGGGCAGTGACTTTATTTTGTGGCGAGTCACGACCGCCACGTCACAGTGTTGTTAAGCAGACATTTGTGGCTTTTTATAGGGAGAACGCTTGCCAGGCGAAAACCCACCACGTCCTGGAACACTGCCCAAATCAAAGCACTGGGTCATTCGGCTCCCTGGCATGTGGAGCATAAGGCCTAACCAATGATGATTCTATTTATACATGTTCATCGTACAAGTATGGAAGTTGCAATGGACATTTTTCGTTGACATCTTGTATTCACTCCGTAACTAGTATTTTGTAGTCTCACGCTGTTCACAAAGTGCAAACGCTCCGCCCATGAATATCTGTTTGATGAACTTAAATTATCCATAATTCCCCCTTCAATCCTTTTCTCATGAATATCCTTACTGTTGATTCATGTTCCTGTGGAAGCGAAACACGTGCAAATTTCTTTCGCATTACCGTTGTTTTTGGTCATGATCATAATGCCCTACTCCTTAATCATTTTCTCCTATCTGAGCTAGGCGATTCAATAAATTTGAGAACTAGCTTGTGCCACTACCTCACGAAATTCGTGGATCGGCTGCCTGAGATAACTTCCGGTCTCGCTCCCACAGATAACTCGTTTTCGTAGGTAAATAGAATATGTGCGTCTGTTACCCCGAACTTAACGCAGACGTTTGCTACTATGGCCACGGATTCTGTATGATTCTGGGTCAATACTGTGGTTCAACTATATTGTTGTGTTATGACAGGTATTTACGTATCCTTTTCTCAGGTTCAGGTTACTGCGAGATGAAATTGTTGCAGCGTCTCGTACGTGGTGTTTGGCTTCCTGCTTCTACGGAGTTTCTTCGCCCAACTTTGTAAGATCGATGCAAACTGCCTTGAACCGGCATGACTTAGTTTAGTGTTTTTTGTGAAAACGCCTGTGTATTGCATTGCGTCTGCATGCCATCGCTAGTCGTCTGCTTATTTTAGCTCCAGGCGAGTTACACTCAGCCTCCTTTACTTCTTTTCTGCACTGCAGTACTACAAAAATATCGATGCTGGCATCAGTTGCGTACTACTGTCACCGCCTTGACGTGATCCCACTGTCAGAAAACCAATTGTTCCTCGCAGTCGCCGCCATATTTGTGTACCTAAGGTAACTTTTTGCTTCCGTGCTTGGTGCATTTATCTCACACTTCACATTTTCATCCTATATGTGGCCTGTTTTTATTTATTCCATTTGTGCAATGCGTTTGACAGTCCACACGCGTGACTCACGCTACACTCGGCCCGTGGTCTTAAAGATCACAAGCCTCCCTTGTAATCTGAGGTCGCGGGTTCGGTCATACATAGGAAACCGAGGGACCCTTGCAATATCCTTATCCCACGCGCGACTGGTGGTGGTTTCACGGCAGTGAAGTGGCGGTACTGCGTATCGATGTACTGCTAACGCCTTTTCTTTCATGGTAGACCTGATTCTGTCCATGGCACTCATTTATCTAATGGTTTGCAATGAACTGAATGTTGTCCCCACTCCACCGTTTTCTTCAACTTATCCCGGATCCTAGTCAGCTTTAATGAGTAATTCAGATGTACTGCTTTTAACAGACATTACCACCAGCATGATTTCCGTTGGCCCACAAAGTGACCACCACCTTGGTTTTGCACCGAATTAATTGTACCTAGTTAAAATTTCTAAATACTAACATCTCCGAAACTTCCATAAACCCAGATGCAATTGTCCCATGCTAGCCAAACTACTGCACTCCCGGCGCCGACTCATGATAAGTCTTTTCACTATGTTCCGCTGCTCCACCACAGCAAATGTTAACAATTTTGAACAAAATATGAGGAGACGCGAATCCTCTAGCAGAGATTCTGTTCTAACGCGTCCTAGTTGTTTCGACTCAGTCGGAGCGGACAAACACTTCTCACAGATAATATCCCACGCGTGCATAGTAGCCAGTCGAATTCGTAACGCTACGGGCTAACGAGACCTAGCCGCCATGTGTTCGAACTAGTCGCGACCGAGAAGATTGATCTTTGATCTCGTGTGGTAGCAGATGTCGTCCACAGTAGTACCTCGAAAGGAGATAGAGCAGTGCAGCTGCCCTGTTAGCTGCACACGACCACCACATGCACTGGTAGCTGTTTGAGAAGTTTCGTGGAAGCGCGGCTTGCTAAGGGACAGCCAGAGATCCTCCGAGATGATCGTGATATCAGAGACAGTGTCCAACTGCAGTCGAACCAGTTGACCGTTGATTGTGAGATCTGGGAACTTCCTGAGATCGACGACATTGACTTGAAATGTGGTCAGCAAGCTCATGGAGTTGTCAGTCGGTTTACCTCTGTGCTTATATCTTGTTCGGAAGCTTTTCTGTGAACTGGGATTGGAAACCAGGCCAGCTTTGACACCATTGTTTGGCGTAGGACTGAAATAACCATTTCGGTGCCCCACCCGGCCACAACGTTGGCATCGATGTTTCCAGAAGTTATGGTCGCGGTGAATGTGTCAAGCACCACAATATCAGCACGAATAGGGTGGGGCTTCACTCGGTTGAGTTGATTATACCGCAGGGCAAATTGCAGCTTTTGTACTGCGACTGCATAAGTCACCAGATGCATAATCGCCCGGATTTCTTCGTGGGGCAAGGACCGTGGGCTGGAGTGCGGCGGGGGGAATGACACCTCCCAAACGCACCGTCGGGTCTGCAGTGGAGGAAATGTCCTGTTGGCCACTGTTCTGGACTAGCCAGTCCTTTTTTCAATCCGACTAGCTCTTCCCGATAGTCCACTGATGACGCACTCTGGTCCACACGAACATCATAAATAATAAATAGCAGAAGCCCGGATCCAGCGAACTCTGCTACACGCCTCATTCTAGAAGCCCGTGCTCAAGCCCGTACGTTTCTTTTCGCACTCGTCCTCACCTTCTCCCATCTGACAGCTCTATCGAAGGCTTCCACCCTTCAGCCTTCTAGAGAGAGGCCCCTGTAGCGCACCTGAAAACACTTTCAGTATTTTCCAACATTGTGTTTTATTGTTCTTCGAACCTCTCACATGTCCATTTGTCTTACTGACTCCACATCTGTTTACACAAACTGCTCCTAACTCGAGTCCCTTGCTATACCGTTCCTTGCCGTTGCTGATTCGCTTCCTATCCTTGTTGCTTGCACAATATACGTTGGGTTCAGCTACCTCTAACTTTTCTACTTTCCCGTATTTGACACTTCTCTTGCGTGTCATTGTTACGAAAGTGGACACCCGGTCTCCAGCTTGCCAAAGCGCTTAGAACATTGAGCCGTACACTTTGAGAACTAGTTTTATCAGCGGGAGTTGCCAGCCCTTCTATCTGCCATTGATTGCTATTCTCTATAGACCATCTTATTGGATGCACAAAAATCGAGATAAGACAGGCATAACTGAACAAATCCTGCGGAACAAATAGACTTCACCTAGCCCTCTTCAAATTGGTAGCACAAGCTCTTATGGATGAGTTGCATAACTTATTAGTGGATCTATGGGATCAGGAGACTTTCCCAACAGACTGGAGCTGCTCCGTTATAGTCCCATTTTTCAAAGAAGGCTCTCGTTCGGAATGCAGCAGTCATAGAGAAATCAGTCCGATATCAGTTGCCTCAAAGGTACTTGCCTCTGTCGCTCTTCACATACTGGCTGGCATCCGTGAAAGTTGGATGCGCGAGGAGCAAGTCGGGTTTTGTCGAGGTCTGGGCTGCATCGACCACATCTTCACTTTACGTCAACTGTTGGAACGTCGCCATATTTATTAGCAACCCACTGTAGTGGTGTCCCTCGACATCAGGGTGTCTGCTTCGGGTCTACGGTGACCTGTCGGATAGCTTTCCGACCACAAGTGGCGTTCGTCATGGTTGTCCGATTTCCCCATTTTTGTTCAATTTCGTCGTGGATTCTATCATGGAGTGTTCCCTTGCGGAATCTCACGATGTAGGCGTTGAAGTGCTGCCTGGTGAAAGGTTAGTTGATCTAGATTATGCGTACGATATCGTCTTGCTTTTCCACGATGCTACGGCGGCACAATCAACCCTGAACAGCCTGTCTAGAGTAGTCCCGTTATTTGGTATGTGCTTAGCACCTTCAAAGTGCAAAGTGTTGCTGCAGGACCATCAGCCACTTGATGACACCTTGATCCTTGCTGACGAGGAACTTGAGGTGGTTGATCAATTCACTTATCTTGGCAGCTGCATCAGCAATGATGGGCGCATAGAAACTGAGGTGAGCTCACGCATTGCAAAGGCCAGAGCTGCTTTTTTGAACCTGCGGCATCTTTGGCGACAGAAGGGAGTTTCTCTCCGTCTGAAAGGCCGTGTATACAAGGCCACAGTGAGGGCCGTTCTGTTCTATGGTAGTGAGACTTGGCCCCTTCGGTCTGAAGATCTGAGGCGCCTTCAAGTCTTTGATCATCGTTGTTTGCGAAGCATTGCTGGTGTCGGATGGCACCAGCGTATCCTCAACGATGATGTGCGTAGGCGAGTACTAGGTAGTGATAATCATGCTAGCTCCCTAGAACAACAGATAGCACTGAATAAGTTGCGTTGGCTCGGGCACGTGCTGCGTATGTCTGGTCACCGCTTACCCAGGAGGGTCTTGTTTAATCTGCCAGGTGTAGGATGGCACAAGGCTCGAGGTGGACAAAAGTTGAGTTGGCAGCGGGAAATGAAGTTATTGACGACCAAACTGGGTGCCGTTGGTCCGTCTCGTTTTCCGGGCTGGAGTCCACGTGACTCCCCTTGTGCTTGGCTCGAGACGTTACAGGACATGGTTCGCAGTCAACACCAATGGCGTATCTGCTGTCGTCTGCTAATCGGATTGCCTGTTTAAAGTGTGTTTGATGCCGAGTTATCTGTGGGGTAATTGCTGATTATGACGCGGGGCAATGAAAGCCACAAGGAAGCTGTCTCGCCGATGCCGCCTTATCTTAGCACGATAGCCAGCTGTTTGTGACGATTTGTTGTCTACACAAAGTGTAGGCGCCTTGACCGTGAATGTTTGCTTATGGCATTAGAGTTTTCCGGTAAGTCCCCCTTCTCCCTCTTATTTTTCTTTATTTCATAGGTCATCATGATTGTATGGCAGCGAAGCATCAGTTCAAATGACTGATGTACTGCTGTTGCTGATTGATTGATTGATTCGGTTTGTTGATTTGCCTTCTGGGACCATCTGCTCATGAAAGGTTTGGCCGATAGATATGTAAATATCTTAAAAGCGCTGTACACGCATAATTTGGGCAGAGAGAAGATTTATAACCAAATGTCACCGCCTTTCAATATCTCCAGGGATGTTAAACAAGGTTTCCCGCTGTCATCTTTTTTCTTTATTTTCTCCATTGATAAATTATGGAAACTGCGTTCACTGGGCAAGACCTACAAGTTGTGGAGCTGCGTCCAGATGAGCGACTTCTTTAAATATGCAGACGACATTGGCACAAGCTGTGACAGCTCTCTGACGTGCCAAACAGCACTGGATAGATTAACACTGGCTGTCAGTCGTTTCGGGTTATGCTGTGCACCATTAGAACGGTGTGGATACCACGGTTGGAGCTCACTGTTGCCGTACTGAACGTGCGCATATCAGCGAAAGTCGGAGAGAAGATGGCACTCCATTGTAGCACAACGTTTGGACAGACTCTATGGGAGTTCTGAAGCTTCTTCGAAGTGTTAATGTGCGTTTCCCGACGTACGTTGCTAACCGGATTACCATTATACAACAATACTCTCACCCCAGTCATTGGTGCTACGTAAATTCGAAGCAGAACCCGGCTGATATAGCCTCACGTGGACTCTTGATGTCGCTCAAGAAGGAAATACACCAATGGTTACATGGGCCACAATTTCTCGTTCAACCCCATTCCTCATGGCCTATGCATCCGGAGAATTTGGGTGAATTACCGCATGAATGATTACGACCCGAGGTTGGTCATTTTTCCTTGGTCACTTTGGGGGAGCACCGGATTAATAAATTTAAGGCTTGCCCGACATGGACTTCCCTGCGCAAATATTTCGTTACCTTCTTGCGATTCAAATCTTATTTCGTTGCCAAATACCTGAGGCTCGCTGCACCTAACCAACCAGCTGAGATAGAAAGCGCTGAAATTTGACAAGCTACGCTCCAGTTAGTTAAGTTGGTGCAGTCAGAAGTTTTTACGGAGGAGATGCACCTCCTTGCGTACAACGAACCCTACATAGTAGTTCGAAATTTAAAACAGGTCATGCAGATTAAGACGACTGAAGCCCTTCCTCATTAATGGGATACTTCGGGTGGGCAGAAGACTGCATCAACTCTCGATACCGTACGACGCGAAGCATCCGATTTTACTTCCCGGCCGCCACTTTATCACTCGTCTTCTTATACTTCACTACCACTACACCAATAGACAATCTGGTGCGCAGCACACTTTGTACGATCTCCAACGATGCTACTGGATCGTGGGTGGGCTTTCATCCATAAGACGCGTGCTTTTCAAATGTGCCAAATGCCGCGTCAACCATGCGAAGCCACTGAGTCAGCTTATGACACCAGTTATAACAGACCAATGTCTGACCTACAAACCAGCGTTCATTACAGAGGGGATCGACTATTTTGGACCGCTGATAGTGAAACGTGACCGCGTACATGAAAAGAGATATGGCTGTTTGTTCAGTTACTTGACTACATGGGCTGTTCACATAGAGGTTTCCCACTCTATGGATACCGATTCGTTCTTGTGTGCATTTTCGAGGTTTTCAGCTAGACGCGGATGGCCGAATGTAATCTACAGCGATAATGGACAGAATTTCCACGGAGCTGAAACAGAATTGCGCAATCTTCTGAAGCAGCTGGATCAGATAAAGATCACAAGGTCTATGTTGGCTAGAGAGGTTGACTGAACATTCAATCCTCCATGTACTAGCCATCGCGGAGGTCTTGGGGAACGATTAATTCGATCCACTCGTGAATTATTACGGAACCTTCTCAACGGCGAGATTGTGACCGAATTGATACTTCTAACGACACTCACCGAGATCGAAAGGATATTGAATGACAGGCCTTTGGTAGCGGTACCCGACTCCCCGGATTCGGAAGATGCTACATCGCCTCGGCAACTATTAACGCTTTCAAATGATCAGTCGCTTGAATACCCACCGATCAAATTACCAATCAAATTGAGCAGGTGGTGACAGGTAAGACATCTGTTCGATATGTTTTGGCGTATGTGGATCAGAGTATATCTACCGACATTGCAGAATAGGCAGAAATGGTTAACTGAAATCCGAGATCTTAGGCAGGGCGATTTAGTTTTAGTTTGTGATTTACGCACATAAAGAGGTCTGTGGCCTAAGGGTGTTGTGGAGGAAGTTATCAAGAGCAAAGACCAACTAGTTCGACAAGCACTGGTGAGGACAAGCAAAGCCGTATTGAGAAGAGACGTCAGACAGCTATGCCTACTAAGATTGTACCAGGAAGAAGAGGCTGATGACGTCGAAACCATCGTCCGGAATACGAAACTGCCGGGAGAGTGTAAAGTCCAAAAGGAACTTTGATGTATCCCCAACCTGGATTGCTTACATGAGGACACGGTATCTCTCTTCCCTACTTATTCTGCTTATTTACATTGCTTTACTATGTCCTACAAGCGGTTGCCAAATCGTATATTTATTCCTTTCACTCGATCACTGACATATCCTTGACGTTTCAAGGTCATTCATATTATTATTATGTCTTATAGAACCACGGTTACAAGCTAATTCGTTTTATTCTTCTGCCCAGACCGTGCGTTAACTAGATCTATTTGTTCGTAGTTTCTGTTTTAGTTTTCGTACGACGTACTTAATTTAGGCTTTTTATCGTTGGTACAATGATGATGATGATGACGATGATGATGACAAGCGGGCAACGGCCCCAACCTAGAAGGTGGTACGCGCCAGGAGTAACTGGTTTTGTGCTCGATGGTCTCCTTTTCCACTATTAAATCAATCACCATCCAATTGGACTTCACGTCATCAGGTATGGGTAAACCAAACGGGACCCTCCCCGATAGGCATTGTGTTAGCCTGCGTAGCACGTGTCCGCTTCATTACAAATTACTCAATCTTATCTTTTTTCATCTACCATGCTAATCTATCCATCACTGTTTACTAGCCCCTTGCGCAACTTGTCTTTGCAACCATTCTGGCGTCACCCAGTACGGGCAGTGCTCCTTAATGGTTTTCAAATTTGAATGTGCTTGACATCGTTGTATCTTACTGTCGTAGATCTGATGATTATCATTGTGAACATGGCCTTTATGACGGAAGGAAATTCCATTTTTGCAAGAGGTATGAAATGTTCACGAAGATAATCCCATTTTTGGCATTGCATAAGCCAACTTCAGCATCCACTGTCAGTGACCTTGCCGTTGGACCTCTGCCATTGTTGTCGTCACAAAAGACAAGTGAGCAACCAGGAACCCTATTTTCCGTTTCGCTTTGTGCAGACGCATACTGTATGCCGAATGACGGGACCACTTCGGAAAGTTCGTTGGGAGTTAGTTGTGCCGCCCTGCGGTTCTCGTCCACTTGATGTTGCCTAACAAAGTTCTTTAAGGAATGTCCCCGCTGCCCGCATCGTTGAACTCAACGCGATAGACCCTTGTAAAATTAAATCGAATTCTGCACTCACCCATGTAGTGGTCAACGCACGGCTGTTACTACGTCATCATATGATTGCACCGAATTATAACCTCCAATCATAGTAGAGTGTACGCAGTCACATTTTAAGTGGTTCTACTGTTTCTCTTTGTAGCTCTTCAGGATGTCGGTCGCTTTTCACTGCTCCTTTTGCACTGAATGATATGATGAGGCTGTTGGGTTGGTGCTTGTTGTCTTTCTGCGCCTACGTTCCCGGAATCGGCCACATTTGTTGTTTGGAACTTTTTGGAAATTACATTGTCATATATTCATAAGCATTTGCACTTGCTCTTCGGCTCAACTTTTCATTCCAATTAATTTTCGCCTGTTTATAGACTGTGTACGTTATTCTATTTCTTGTTTCTTAAAACACTTGAGTAGTAATGGTAGTAATAGTTATTGTGGTAATGTGGTGTTATTGGTTGTGACAATTGGACCTACCGCATCTAGACGCTCTTGTCATAATCACTGGACTTCGCTGAACTTGGTCAGTGCACAATTATGGTCAGTTAATGATCTTTTCGTTTCTGTTCACTAGTGCTCGCGAATCATCACTGAGCTATTTACACCGTCAGACTGATGACACAGTAATTCGCGAATTGGTGTTCGCTTGTGAATGCCTTAGTAGTTATCTTCACAGTCTACCGGCTTGCCCCATGTACATTATTTGGACCTTTTTCTTTGCCTACCGTTTTTATTGCTCGGCACACCATGTCTTACGGAGCTCTGTGATGCTGGTGATGGTATCGCAAATATATAGTAGCAACCGAACGCTTTGCGTCTTCGTTATCAGTCTGCTCCACATTTCTGCCACGGCTGCAACAGTTGGTGACGCAATACTTTTTCTGTTTCTGACCACTGATGTTCTTTTGCATGTTTTATATTACTCACCCTCCACTTGCTTTTCGTTTTTCTCCTTTATTTTCGCGTTTATGTCAACATAAGACGTGATGCTCACACGCTAGACAACCGGATGTAACTTATGTCTTCCGAGGCATTTTTCGCATCATTTGACTTTGGCTCGAAATTAGTACTCCTTCCACACAAATAGCGAAGCCCCCTTCTCCACTGTGGCTGCTTATTCGTTTTAGCCACAGCAACAATCTATTTTTTTGTTTCATCTGTCCTAGGGTTACTATGATACTCCTTGGACTGAAGGACCCCTTCACACCATTCGAGAACATTGTGTGCACTGTTCTGTTTGGTGGAACCGTAGACGCTCTTCGAAGCGCGTTCGAACGCAGTCGCGCTGCACGAGCTGCTTCTGCCAATGCAGCGTCCTCTCCTCCTCCTATCGGTCCATCCTCTGGTGTCACCTACGCGAGCAGCACGCTCCATGGGCCTGGAGTCACGGCTCCATCGTCGGCCTCTTCACCTGTTGCCGCTCCGTCTACGGCCACCTTAGCAAACGGACAAACCAGTGTGAAAGATTCCGCTCCGCGACAGCCGACAGACAAAAAACGCGACTAGACCTGGTACGTTGGACCCAGCCCACGACGTAATTGATTTTTTGCCCTCAGTTTCATACTGAGTAACTCAACTTGCTATGCTGCTTTCTCCGCGTCACACGGGTTCCACGTATTTTCGCTGGTTTCTCTTTGAATATTAACAAGAGACCAAAATTTTTGCTTATTTTTAAAACTCTTGCATGAGTGGAACCGCTCAACCCAACTTCACCATGCAATCATGCGTTTATTGTTTCTCCCTGCTTTTCTCCGTTACTTCGTTCGATTTAACACCTCATATTTATACTGCATAGCTCTAGTATCAATTGAAGCATTAGGACTATTATCCGGACTACCTCCTTACTCGGCTCTTCCTTTTGTTGCTTTGTGATCCATTTCGATTTTTACTTGCGTAGACTATACCTGACCCTCTATCCGTGAACAGGCGCTCATTATTACATTACTGTTAATAAAGCATATGTGCGACGTTCTTTGCTTCTTTTTAATTACACTCGCTTAATGTACCAAGTGATGTGTGGCGCCAGCTTCAACAGTCGATCCGAGGAAGCAGCTACTAATTACATTTTTATGCCAATATGCCACCTTCGGATCTCTTACGTACCTGTGAACTATTTCTCATTCTGTCGCTATCTGAATTTTTTGTGAAAGCCTGTTGTAGATATCTCATGGTTCAACAAAACTTCGCGCCAAGTATTTTTTCCCTGCCCCCAATTTTGCCAGTCATGTTGCCGTTGCAGGGCTATGCGATGCTTTGTCGGTGACAGCGTTATCAGCGAGCGACTATCTCTGTCCTGTCAGGAGTCACTGTTATCATATCCGAATTGTGTGACCTCACCAGTGATGCCGTTGTCCGGTGTTAATTACGTCACTCTGAATACCATCTTTCCATTACCAAGTGACAACTATACTGCCCTCCTGATAACAAGGAACCCCGTGCTATCGATACTAGGCTGTACAATCCGTGTTCGATCTTCGTTTGAGCAGTAAACGCTTCGTTAAAGGTTTCCTCCCTAGGTCGCGAGTATTCGTGCAGTGTCCTTGTTAGTTTCGTTACCGTGAGGAGAAGCGTTGGCCGACTAAGTCACTCGGAGCGTGGTGATGCGAATTTGATCAGTCACTTGTCCGCGAGGGACACAGTCCGCAAGAAGCGGATCCTTGTTCCCACTATCAGTGCTGTACCCAATCAGATTAGGTTTCAACAACGATCTTGTTATCTCTTTTAAAAATCATAATTACGTGGATTCTCAACGCTATATTGCTATATCACAATTTGGAAATAGTTATGCTAGTCATCGGTCTGCTCTCCGGACCGTAGTCTTCTGGGCGGTGGTTGCAGTCAGGAAGACCGGACAGACGAACAGCATTCAGCTCGCTATGCATTGTGAAGCCTGAGCCACCCGCGGAGCAACATTGCAGTATTTTATGTTCCATGGATAACAAGTCGTTTTACTATTTACAGATCCTTATCCCAATCCGGCACGTGCTTCATCTTTGGAGGGCTACGCAACATAGTAACAGAGTAAAGGCGACCAATTGACAAGCAATGGTTCATATTTGGTCGAAAACAACCAATGTCCACTGCACTGCAAATGATTACAATTTCACACCGTGTTGTAGCTAGGTTTCACCGTTTTGCAGCAATTGCTAATTGACGCTGTTTCCGCATGCTATGTACCAGTCGGTCAACTGTGATCCACTCATCGATCCAGTTGCCTTGACTGCAGTAGCTAACAAGCACCAACATACAATGCTCTGGACAGTAGAAAAAAGCAGCCTGGACTTAAAATTCTGAGCAATCGATATGACAGCGCTATCAGTAAAGGTAGTGGAGCTCTTACATAAGCAAAATGGTGCAGAAGCGTAACTTCCTTCATGGCTGCATTACCTGTCTATGGGTCTTTGTTAGTAAAAGCGATACGAGCCGACCTAATTCAGTTTATTCTTGACTCTTTGCCACGCCGCCAGCTGGTTACCCCAATGCTTCACTCAACCAACTGCTCCCATCGCTAACTCCGCCCACCAAGACAGCTGGCTTGCAGACCTACGGATCGCGCAACTTGGCCATCGCAGGTGGTTCGGGGTCAACGGCGCTTCGGTGTTGTAGTAGACGGTGCGTAGTGAGATACCAACCAACCGGCTCCAACCTCATTCATTGAGTGGCCCCACCATAAAAGAGCAGTATTTCGCAGGTGTAGATGTACGGACTCCACCAGCCGCTGGTGTCACGGTATAAGGACTTTAAACTACAGTCCAACCTGCTATGGGGACCATCAGTTTATGAAGACAGTCAAAAACATCCCCCAACCTTTTCCTTACATTTTCTCATTAGTCTTAACCTGTGTATTGCAACCACCTGTCTAACGCAACCGCAATCACGTTTTGTGGCCCCCAGGCGTTCTCTCACGACTGACAGATTTTGTTTTGAAGTGTCATAAAAGTCAGCCACCGTATCGCACCGATGGCTTAGGTTTTGTCCCGATGTGACATACTCGGCCATTCGTTCATCATCATCGTCAATACACGTTAGCTGATGGTGAGAAACGCGCGTCCGCTAATGTGCCGCAATACAACAAGTAAGACACTAAAAATAAAACTACAAAAAGCAAGCAATCTAATGTTAAATGTCATACTATTTGCTCGCCATGAGAACGCGATTGGGGGATGGATAAAGAAACTCACAGTACAGACGCTATTGGGGCCGACCCTTCGCCATGTCAATGAGTGTATCCAACCAAACGTGTTCATCGTCCTTCAGACCCCACCCCGGCAGTCGGGAGATGCTAACTTCGAAGTTGAGGATCTTCATACCTCTTGGCCAACTCATCGTTCGGCCTCACTTTTTCTCCCATCCACACCCCCGGCGAGCAAACAACACACTTCGCGGGAGTCGGTGTGCTGGCATGCGCAACACGGGGTCTAGCCATCGGAGCTTGTTGCGTGATATAACGGTGCTGAGCGCGTCACTCGCTCCTCCTGCACCAAATATCCGACGCTGAACACATTCATTGCTCACGCGGTGCTTCCACCAGACACGAGCTAAACTGCGATGGTCGAACGTAGCCGCTTTATGTCTGTTGACCTCATGGGCCAGGTTTCACAGCCGTACGTTAGGGTCAAACGGACTGCTGCATTGTAAACTCTACCCTTCTGGGCGAGAGTGACGTCTCGTCTGCGCCACAGGTGGCGGCGATTGGCAAAAGCGCCTCGGCCTTTTGCTATATGCTTCGTGACCACATCTTCAATCCCACGGGCGCTAATATAGCTGCCCAGGTACTTGAATTCCCGAACTAATTCTAGCTGATCGCCACCAAGGGTCAGCGTAGGGATAGGTCCCTGCTAATCTTGGAAAAGGATTTTACATTTCGATGGAGCAAAGCATATCCCATAACAATTGACGGTCAGTGCTGCTTGTCACGTTTGAGCGCTGTCACATCTGAGGGCAATCTCGTCCGAATACTCCAAGTGAAGAACTCTCTCACCAGCATGCAGCTCTACACCTTGTAAGTCCTGTCTGGCGAACACTGTTCCCATGTCTTCGTCAATAGCGAAGTTAAAGAGAATAGATGACAGCGGACAACCTTGTCTCACACCGCTGGAGATACTGATGGGCGGAGGCGTTTTGCTATAAACCCACACTCTACCCGAAATATGCGCGTACAGCGCTCTGACAATGTTTATGTATTTTTCGGGTGCACCTTTCCTGAGTAGACAATCCCAAAGGGCACATCGATCAACCGAATCGAAGACATCATTGCTGTCGAAAAGCACGACTACGGTTGATCGCCAACAAAAATGACGATGCTCCAACAATTGTCGTAAAGTTCAGATGTGGTTGATGCATCCTCGATTTCGACGAAACCCGGCTTCCTCTTTGGTACTCTGACTTTCACGAGTACCAATTAGTCTGTGGAGAACGACAAACGCACTCAGAGGCAATTAAGATTAGACGGATCCACCTATGATTGCCGCATTCCGAAAGGGAGCCTGCCTTGAAAATTGAGACAATGACGGAGCGGCTCCAGTCTGTTGGGACAGTTTCACTAGTAACTCGTGTAAATCATCTACAAGAGCAGATCCGCTGAATTTGAAGAGGGCTGGAGGAATTCTCTCTGCTCCTGCGGCCTTGTTCCATTTCAAAAGTCTTATCTCACGTTCGATTTCTGTGCGTGAGGGCGGATCTACGGGGATGGCCCATTTAGTAGGGCGATCAATGGCTGGTGGAGAAGCCGACAACTCTAACTGATTGAATTGGTTCTCAGATTGTTCGGCTCAACGCTCCAAGCCTTTTTACAAGCTGTGAATCGGCTGTCCTCTCTCATCACATATGGTCTTTCTAACACCAGGTCTCCTGCCGCCCGTTTCCCGTATCAAACAGCATAACTTCCTGTGGTTACCAAAGGCAGCGGCTGTTCACATTTCCGATGCACCATCAAACTTCGCGGTCTCTTTAGGCTAGCACGTTGTTTTGCGCTGAGGTTTTTAGTGAGTCTCAGTATGTTCGCTTCCACCTGGGATACACCGGCGAGCAAACGTTCCAGGGACTGTGTAGAGATCCAATGTCCTGGTTGGCAACTTCATTTACCACATGAAAATATGTCTGTTGATAGTAACGTCTGGCAGATATGCGACCAGTGATCTTCAGCGGTGTTTACTGGGGACTTACTCAGTTCGGATGTGTCACAGAGGCGAGACGGCTGACTACGATGGTGCACTCTAGCAGGCCGCAGGATGTGACACGATTTCGAGACGTCTGTCTGGATGATACGGGTTGCTACCCGCCCGACGGTACTGCGGCTGAGTCACGCCGGAAGCTGATGAAATCAGAATATCATCATCGTATGGTTGCTATGAGGCGGATGTGGTCGCACCTATAGCCAGACAGTCAAGATCGCTACCGAGATCGAATCTGCCCAGACAAGAGATGTGAGTCATCTCAGTGATAGCGACGAAGTAAGCGCATGTGACCCATAAAAGTAACCATGTTCTTTGACTAATATACTCCGGTCTAGCAGGCTCGGCGTTCTGATTTGCTCCGGCTGGGTTAGCGTGGCAGCGAGGAGAGGGAAAAGCAGCGTTACGACAGTGGCGATGCGAGTTTTAATTGAACCCAGAAATCGTAGCCAGCTTCGAACCATTGCAGGCACTTTTCAGTAGCAGGCCAAGCTTATTGAAATTTTGACGCAGAAGCTGTTGATACAGTCCAACCCAGGGTTAGGGGCAAGTGAAAATGTCCCCTTCCCAGAAACCCTGACGCAACAGATCAGTGAATTCCATTATGATGCTGGGGTGACATTCGCTTCCAGGTTTCACAAGTACAAAGACATGTTTCTTGTTGATTTCGCGAATGTCCCAGAAGAGAAGAAAATTCGCCTGATGCTCCGGAAGCTGGATGCGGCTGAACATCAAGAGTTTACAAATTTCATCCTACTATAGAAGAGCACTGATCTAACCCTAAACTAAGTTGTCTCAGTCCTGTCACAAATTTCTGATGAACAGACATCCTGGTTCAACATCC